CATAAGAGCCCAGTTTATGATCTATCGCCTGCTTCCAGGGGGAAGGAAAGTTGTCAGTCAGCACTAATGGGGACAATCCCTCTGGAAAGAAATGCATTTTAAGCCAGTGAATGATCATCATCTTCCAGGCTCTTACCTGGATTTGGGGCATGCCTGTCTCAATTCTTAATTGGGCATTTGGGGTTCCTTTGGGTGCAGCCTTATTAGTTATACTGTTGTTAACTACTACTTTATATGGTAGATTTCCTTGCTTTTTCAAATCTAAAACAAATTCATTTCCTTAGAACTTACTCCTACTACTGCTAGTATTAATATGTAATAACGTGTTACATATATACTGTATACAATATTCTACAAGAAAATGCTTCTTCTATACATCTGTGAGGCATGGGGAAGATAGTTACACATTGGCTCACCAAAGTTATTTAATGCCAGTTTAACAAAAGAAGCTTCAATGAGAATTGGTAAGCTACAAAATGAAATATTGGACATCATAAAGCATTTATATGTGTTTCAGAATCTGCTGCTCAATTTAGTTTAAATTCTGGATTGTTCCCTGGAGTGTGACATTGTAATTTGCAAACACTGCAGAACCACAATACCGAGTATCTCTAGTCCACAATAAAGCCCCAGGAGTAATGTAAACCAGTAATCTGGGAGGAAATGATTTGCTGCAAACTGTTGTAAAAAAATGCTCATTTCAATATTTTCTCTTCGCATTACAAGACTTTAGGAGTACTTTTGATTCAAATAGAAAAACACCATTAGTCACTGTTCCATGTTTTCATTGATTAGTATGAGAAAGTTGTAATGATAATTATTTCTTGTTTCTTCTTGCAAGGTCCTGTCACCTTCATGAATGCCTCCAGGGTCACTGAATTCATCTTACTGGGTCTTTCCAGGTCTCGGTCCATCCAGCTCCTTCTATTTGTCCTGGTGATGTTGTGCTATGCTGCCATTCTGTTTGGCAACCTTCTCATTGTATTGACGGTGCGCATAGATCCACATCTTAAAAAATTGCCCATGTATTTTTTCTTATCCAATTTATCCATCATAGATACATCGGTGGGTTCAGTGGTAGTCCCCAAAGTAGCAGCAGATCTGGTCACCTGTGGCAGGACCATCTCATTTGCGTGCTGTATGTCCCAGCTCTTTTTCTTACACTTCTTTGGGGGTACAGAGATGCTCCTCCTAACCCTCATGGCCTACGATCGCTATGTGGCCATTTGCCATCCACTGACATACACAACCACGATGAACCGCCCACGCTGCATTAGACTGATCTGCTTCTGTTGGTTTGGAGGCCTCCTCCACTCTTCTAGCCAGTTGTTCCTGGTCTTACGGCTGCCGTTCTGTGGGCCAAATGAAGTGGACAATTTTTTTTGTGATGTTCCACAGGTAGTCAAGCTAGCTTGCGTTGACACCCATGTCACTGAGATACTCATGGTGGCCAATAGCGGCCTGCTCTCCCTGGTTTGCTTCGTCATCTTGCTGATCTCCTATGGCATCATCCTGAGCACGCTTCAAGGCCGCTTCAAGGAGAGTAGAGGGAAGGCTCTGTACACCTGCAGCTCTCACCTGACAGTGGTCAGCCTTTTCTTCCTACCTTGCCTCTTTGTGTACCTTGTCCCCATCTTCAGCGCCAGTCTGGACAAGGTGTCTTCCGTATTTTATACCACAATCACTCCTTTCCTTAATCCTATGATATATTCTCTAAGAAATCGGGAAATGAAAGAGGCAATGGGCCGGGTGAGGAAGAAATTAATGTTTTCCCACTGGTCTCAGAAAAAAGCAGAAGGATGAGTAGATTTTTCAAAAACCCTTGTTTGTTTTAGGTAATCCTATTTGATAGTGTAGTTCCTACCATTGTATGTGTAACGGCAGTGATGGTGAACCTCAGCACATAACCTCCCATCTATGACTGATGGTGTCCCTGAGATAGAGCACAACCAAATATATGAGAGTCAATATTTCCTTTAGGGACGTTGGAGCTCTGATTTTAGTGGAAACATGAGTGCTTTACACTTTATAGAGGTTTTAGCCAAATGTCTATGGAGATTCTCAGTCATCCAGGTCATGGATTTCCCAATGGTGCTTTTTCAGGAGGCAACTGGACTTTCTTTGAAGACATTTTACTTCTCATCCAAGAAGCTTCTTCAGCTCTAACCTGATGGTGGTGAATGGAAGGATTTATATTCCTTGCAGATAGCTGGTCATTTTCAGCTGGTCAGAGCTGAAGAAGCTTCTTGGATGGGAAGCAAAAGGTCTTCAAAGAAAAAACAAGAAAACCCAGTTGTTTCCTGAAAAAGCATCTTTGGGAGAGGCTTTAGCCCTTGATTGTTCCCTGAAAGTCTTGTGAAATTAGCCATAACAAGTTGTTTATGGATTAAAATGAAATACTCAAGAACAAAAGAGAGGAGAGAGATGAATAATTCTAATAAACAACTAAAGGAACTGCAAAGAATTGACTATGTTTTCCTATTTGGGAAGTAAGTTTTATAGAGCAAGGTAACTATCAAGGCTTAACTAAAAAGGCTTGCCCTTCTAAGGAATGGATTCACAAGAACCTGGTCTCTGAGAAACACAAAGATATGGGTTTCATTTGTACAACAAGCTTATCTTGAAAGTGTGAACTATTTGAGGTTCACACCATGCACTGATTCATAAATTCATCAGTGAAGCAAAGGATAAAACTAATGTACACAGTGAGAGACTTCCGGTGGCAGGCGCCTTCGCTGGTCGCAGCTGATTGCTGCTTCCCGCCTGTTTTGTGTAAAAGCCGGTTTGACAGCCAGTATCAGCTGTCAAACGGCTTGAAACCTCTCCCCTGGGCATAAGGGGAGAGGTGAGCTGCCCGGGGTAGGAGTTGAGTTCCCGAGTCGTCCTATTTGGACGATGTAGGTGAGAACTCCTCCGGAGCCCCGAGGATTCTCCGCGATCCAGGACGCCTTCGCTTCGGCGAAGCTAGAAG